TTTTTTCGTTTTCCTCCTTTTTTTTTTTTTTTTTTAGAGAGTTTTTGGCATAGGGCATGTGCACTCACCAGAAAGACAGAGAGAGACAGAGAGACAGAAAGCGAGGAATCATCCACCAAAGGGGATGGCCACGCCGCAATCCCTTCTCTTCTCCTACATTCTCCTCTCTGGATTTGGGAACACACTCACAGGCGCCCAGCATGATTTAAAGCCACTGGGTCCGGGATTTGGCTACAAGGGAGTTCAGAGATATAACCATTACACTAACCGCTGGTCCCTGAAAAAGTGTCCTTTTAAGAGAGGAAGGGAAACGCAATTCTCCTTCTAGAAAAAAGTAGGGCTCAGATGTTCTCAATTCTTCCAGGCCTAGCCACCTTCCTCACCCTGAGATTTACAGACAATCAAGGAAAGATCCAACCCTTTTGTCTTTCTGTAAAGTCCTGACTCAGTTAAAGCAAGGGCAGGCAAAACAAACTAATAGCCAATACGAAGATAAAAATATACCTGTCAGATTTGCAAGGAAATAGAATTATTGATATAAACTTAAAGGATTTATATTCAAATTTTAAACATTAAGCAAAAAAAAAAAAAAAAACACAGACATTCAACCACCTGTAATGATGAGCAATGGTTAAATGTAAAGGAAGAGAAAAATAGACATGAATGTCATCAGGAAAACGTACGCAACCATAAAACTCTTCCCCAGCATGTACAGGGCAGAAATGCTAGCCGTATTATAAAAATAGGCAAAAGGTGCTTCCTGTGCTTTCTCCATTCTACATAGTGAATTTGGGAGGGACAGGTACAGAGCTGAGTTCTCAGACTCAAGAAGCCTGTAACCTCAGACATAGAGGCAGAGATGGCCACGACGAAGGTTTAGCCCAAACAAAATGGTACTTAAACTATGTGGCAATTGATCGGTGCTGCGGGGGTCCAGCCAATGTCAGGAAAGGAATGTCTGTGGGGTGGCATCAGTGCTGGGCCACATGGTCCCTGCCACCTGAGATTCAAAAGCTCCTTCTCTTAAAAAATGGAGAAAAGGTATGGAGAAAGACTCCCCTACCAGTCTGGTGATAGAGAAGAAATCATGTGTGCTGTTAAAATAAATATAGTCGGGAACCAGCAGTTACTGTATTGGCTATGTCGCTGGGCTCCCATGTAGTCGACCGCGGTTCGCGTCCCGGACCCGGTGGCTCAAAACTCACGCCGGACGTGTGTGCGTGCGTGCCCAAAATCCTGAGGGGAGAATGGAGGAGAAGGGATTGCGGTGTGACCATCCCCCCTGGAGGGTGATTTCTTGCTTTCTGTCTCTATGTCTCTCTCTGTCTGTCTGGCGAGCTCACGCACCCTATAGCGAAAAACCTCTCCAAAAAAAAAAATAAGAAAAGTCACAAGCAAATGTCCAAACAGTAACCTGTCATTTCTTGAGGAGATGAGAGCCACAAAGAAAACTTACAGGCCTGCCACTGTGACCCTCACAAGAAATCACTTCATTCCCTACTCCTTCCCATCCCGAAGTATATGAAGATTATTCTTCTAGCCTTACTCAGGACTTCTGGACTTCACTTGACTTCCTTGATGAGAATGATCCTGGAGCAGAATCTTTTACTGCATGCAGCTCTTAATATCTAAGTGTGATATCTATCAGCCTACTAGGGGGCTAGGACAGCTCTCTCCCAATGAAGGTTGGTAAGGCATGTCAGTCCGATCTGTGTGTACAACACAGCTGTTATCATTAATCTATTCCAGAATTACCTGAGGAAACATTTATTCTTCTCTTATAAATTCTGCTACCTTATAGAAAAAAAAGCATGAAATAAGCTCAGGAGGGATAGAACCATTAAAATGCTACCAAAGTCACATACGGCAAGCAAGGATAGGAACTGAGAAGCTAATGGAAAGAGACAAAATAAAGTTTCAAACAGGCATAACATAGAATACCTGTCATTTTAGAATCAGAAGAACAAACTCAAGGAGTTGGAAGGAAAAGCAGACTCTTCAGGGTCATATTGTGAGGATGGCACCACCTAAGTCTGTAGAGCACAATTAAGTGGCCCAGAGCTTCTTTGGGGGGCTTAGGCCTGTGTGTGTACACCCCACTACTGAATCAACCAACATTTGTTGCATGGGCACCATCAGTCTAAGGGAGACCACCAACATCCACATCTCCATGTCAAGCACACAGAAATGAAGTTCTGGGAACAGGAAGAGGTGCACCAAACAAAGCCCATTCCTGGAAATTGGGGTCTCAGGGTCTTCAATGCGCACCTGAGCACAGGACACCAGCATCTTCACCATGGTTACAGTTATGAGAGAGCCAGCCATTGTGGGGGCAGTTCCACAGGTAGGACTCATGTCCTGAGCAGCGCATGTCATCAAGGACAATCGGACCTGAGCCCTGACCGAACTGGGCATATCCTGGAGCAGATTTGGCCCAGCCACAGCCCAGCTGCCTGCACACCACGTTGGCATCATTGATGTCCCAGCTGTCATCACACACGGTCCCACAGGAGCCTCGGTACAGGACCTCCACCCGGCCTTGACATTGGTTACTTCCATTCACCAGCCTCAGGGCCAAACCTGCATCAGTTCCTAGAGAGCACCCAGTTACTTCTCATTGCATTTTTGGTAATTTCAAGAATGTGATGGTTGGGTGCACCAAGGACCACTTGCCATAGGCCAAAACCCCTCTTTTGTGTTCAATTCCACACAGGGAAATGTTAGGGGGTATTCTTTTCTGGGACATGGGTGCCTTGTTCTATGAGGGGTCACTTCTCGTTCATGGCATACTTCTAGCCTCTTTAGGAGGCTTTGCCAGGTCTGGGCTCAGAAGGAAGCTTTGACCCTCCTGTGTTCACTCTTCTGTCCTGAATAAAAACTCCCAACCAATTACCACTCCTTTCTCTCTTTGTTTCACAAATGGCTATGAGAGCCTGGAAACCCAAGGTCTCCAAGGTCTAGAGATGAAGACCGAGGACAAGACCTCCAGATACTGGACCCATACCTACACACTCACACGTGGAATGTTTACTGAAAGTTGATCCGACACTTGTAATCCCCAGTTCTCTCCTGTATCAACTCTAAACCCCGAGGACATGGATTTCTATGTCTGATAGAGACTGTGAGAGGGAAGGTACCTGGTAATTCTGTGGATGATTGTGTGTTGAGCGATGATTCTGCAGGAAAGAGAGAAAACAAAGTGAGTCTCTCTGGAGCCAGCAGATGGCCTAGTGGATTTGTTGCAGGATTCCCATGTAGTAGTCGACCGTGGTTCAAGTCCTGGACCAGGTGGCTTAAACTCAAGTTGGGCACAAGTGCTTGCATACCCAAGATACTGAGAGGAGAATGAGGAAAAGGTATTGTGGCATAGTCATCCCCTCTGGGAGGTGACTTCTCACTTTTTCACTTTTTTACTAGGGAGCACACATGCCCTATAGCAAAAAACTCTAAAAAAAAAAAAAAGGAAATGAGTCTCTCTGGAAGAGGCACTCATTCTTTCCTTGGACCCTGGAAAATTAAATTTTAGTTTAGTTAAGAGGTAAAATTATCACACAGTTGTAACCACAGTCTCAGATAACGTGACATTTTCTTAAGTAGAAATCCTATGTTTTCTTCCTTAAACCTGTGATAGCCTGGTACCCACAGGAGACTTCTCAGGACTCTCTATTTTTGCCATCTGTGAGTGGCCAGCAGAGAGTGGTCAGTCAGAGAACCCACTGAGAGACCTAAATCTGTATTTGATGTCACAGAGCTTGATCTTCAGGTTCCCACTAGCATGCCTACTTTCTAAAGGAGGTCCTACTCGGGCCACTGGGAAATCACCTGTGATGAAAGCCAAATGCAAGAGGCCCTGCTAGAGGCACTTCCCTTCTCCTTTAGTGAAATTAGGAGCTGGCTGTCTGGGGCAAAATTTTCACTTACAGGCTCCTTTTGGCTTTGCACCCATCACATTTTAAAATGAAATCTGACTGACTGGTCTGATGCGTTTGCCCCACTTTACTCCTAACTAGCAATTTTATTTTCTTGACTTCTAAATGTTTTTTAGGATAAGAACCTACAGTCTATGAGGTTTGTGATATTCCCTATTACTAATGTTGACAGTCCTTGAATTGAACCCGCAGTTTGCTGAGTTCATCATTTATTTCAGTTTCTTTGGTCCTTACCTTGGCATTCATTTTCAGAGCCCACAAAGTAACTATCATACATCCAGGCTCAAAAGGAGTAGAGAGAGTATCTGAGATCTTAAAACCTCTCTAGTTCAATGTCCCAACAGGATTAGTGAAACCTCA